TTCCATTTAATTTTATATCCTTTAGCAGTAGCGAGTTTAGATTAAAACACGCTGCTACAAAAAAAGTAGCGGTAGCGCAGTTCGATATAGGTCGCTACTACTATGTGTAGCCTATCGAATTGCATGGGAAAATTTAATGCTCCCAAAATTCAAGATGGTCTTGGTTTTAGTGGTATACGCCTCTTTAACCCAAGCTTTGCTGGCGAGGCAAGCTTGGAATTTAATCGAACGACCGGACAGTTTATGTGCTAGATTGGTGAAAGCAAAATATTATCAATGGGGTAATTTTATTGATACCGTGTTTACGGGGAATTCGTCGACTGTCTGGAAGGGGGTTGAGTATGGTTTGGAACTATTAAAGAAGGGAGTCCTCCGGGAAAAATGGTGATGGACGCAAGGTGAGGTTTTGACGTGACACATGAATTCCGAGGGGCACTTTGAGCTCTTAAACCTCAAGGGCAGTGTAGGTTTACAAGGGTGTCCCCAATTTATTCGTCATGTAGGTTCGTGGGATGAAAAGTGGTTTAACCAGTATCTCATACCTGATGTCTGCTAATGTAGAAGAAATATTTAAGATATCAAACTATCAACACGGATGCGAGATGATTTTATAGCATGGCAACCTGAAAAAGGATGGAAGTTTTCTCGGTGCAAAGCGCATATCACCTAGCCGTGGCGACCCTCTTGAAGAACTAGGGGGTGTGGTGACCAGCTCGAGGCCATGTGGAGACCTACTTGTCTAGAAAATGTTTTGGAAAATCCTAGTTCCACAAAAGATGTAAATTTGTGTATGGAAGTTGCTCAAAGGGTTGTGGACTAGGGACCTCAAATGTTATCGGCATCTTGACCCAATTGCCACCTGCTTGCAATGCGGACCGGAAGAGGAGCCAACTTTCCATGCTGACATCATGCCCAACGTCGCAATCGGTTTGGAGGCGATTCGAGAAATCTGGACTGTCCCATACTGATATGGCGGGGCAATGTGCCACACTAGTTGGTGAGATCTGGCCCTGGCGGTGCTTGTGTTGCATTATTACTTGTGCGTTTGCACATGAATGATGGACTAATAACCATGCATGACACACAGGTAGAAAAATCATTTTTGAATATTGCCTCAATTATCAAGAATGTTTATGTAAAAAATGTATCTGTGGTCGTGGATATTTCCCCCATAATTTAAGAGAATTCCCATGTATTTTCAAACGAGATTAATGTATTTTAATAGATATTTTTGTATTTATAAAAAAGTCATCATATGTTTTAATAAATATTCTTGTCTTTTCAAAAATGGTTCATGTAATTTTAAATTGTTTACAAAGCATTAAAATGTTTATGTATTTTAAAATAGTGTTCATGTATTTTTGTAAACATGTTCTTGTATTCTTGTAAATAAAAGTGACTAACATATTTTTTGTATATTCATAGAATTTAAAAAGTATCCACATATTTATAGAAAAAATCATGTAATTTAGAATATGTTGTATTTTTTAAAAGATGAAATAATTTTTCTAAATGCAACATTTTGAAAAAAAAATACAACAAGGTACAAAAAATACAAAGAAAAGTGCAAAAATAAACCAAAACACATGTAAGTAAACCAAAAGAAAATGAAATGTAAACCTGAAAAGGAAAGAAAAACAGGAAATAAAATGGAAATGTTATCTGGCGATCGTTCGCTGGGAGGCCCACCCCAGTGAACAGCCCCATCACCATCAGACGCATCTTGACGCACATCCGATGCCACATAGGTCAGTTCGAGCAGGTCGCAGCTTTAGGTTTCCCAACCAACATTTTGTTTTTTGTGTCCCAAAATACATGCAAGCATGGGGTCTCAAACCAGAGACCTCCGGCCTATGGCATGCACCGCCTACCACCTGTACTATAGCGCGCTTTGTCTACATTTGCAGTTTAAACATGTTTCTATATATCTTATGAAGCTATTTCAAAAAAGATATAATGCTTCATTTGAAAAAGATTCGAAAATGCCAAAAAAATTATTGGTAGAAGAAATATCATTTTTTTGGAGTTCTTCCCTAAGCTTGCCATGTGCATTTTTATGATATGCAGCATGTCATTTTTTATAGGTCCTTGTTTTAATAGCCCACATGGCATTTTTTCTAGTAAAGTGCATGCCATTTTTCAGGTCCTTTTTAGTGCCACACATTGCATTTGTTTTAGCAGAGACCATGGCATTTTTCAGGTCCTTTTGAATGCCAAACATGACATGTTTTTAGCAGAGATCATGGCATTTTAATAATTAATAACATGGCATTTTCTATTATTAGAGGATGGCAGTTTTATTTATTAGTAACATGGACTTTTTTCAGTTACAGGGCATTTTTATTTATCAAGAGGGATGGCAGTTTATGATAAAGAGCATGGCATTTTTTTAGTAAAGAGGATGAAATTTAAAAAACTAATAAAGTTCATGTAGTTATCCCCCAAGGACAACTAGATCTGCTTTGCCACCCCGTAGGGCTGGATCTTCATCATCCATGCACGGCGCCTTCCCGTGGGAGACCTAGCTGTGGCATCCGATCACCGGAGAGACCATACCCCTCCCGCCCATACAAGACGACCACTATGTCCCAACCAGTTGCACCTGCCTCCTGACCCACAGCTCCGCCGCGCACCCTGACTGCATCGTCCTCCTGTTCAATAAAGGAGATGAGACGGTGACGGCTCGCTGCAGATGGAATAAGATTCTTCCCGCATAGTCCTCATCACGTTGGCACGTCTAGCATCGTCGAAGGGAGTGTGGAGGTGCCTCTCCAACGGATCTCACGTTATTCGGTCAGTGGTTGTCTTTGGTGGATCTACTTGGATCCAATCTTTGTTCGTCTTTGTGTCATGTGTCTTCATCGGCGGCGGTTGCTATTCTAGTGCGTTGGTCCTATGGGGCCTTAGCAGTCTGCTACAACAAGTTGTGCCCGGCACCGGCGAGGGAGGGGCGATGACTGCAACGCACCTTCGGCTCGCTTCAATGCTTGTAGTCGTTGCTAGATGGCCGATGAATCTGGATGCAATTTTTATTATTTATGGTGATTGTTGCAATGTCATGATTGAAGATGAATAGATCGATAGTTTTCTGGAAAAAATTGAAAATGAAAAATAAAACAGAAAATAAAAGGGAAAACATAAAATAAAACCACACTACTATTTTTTTGCGGGAAAATTCGGAGAGCTTTATTGAGTAAACGCATTCTTGGAGCAATCGGCCAAAAGGCTGGACACCAAGAAAGTAGGAGTCTCGTCAAGCCAACTACCGGTCACATCGGTATGTGAGCGGTATGTTACTTGCCCAAGATTCAATCGTCGGTATCCTCATACCTTGTTCAATCTCGTTACTAGCAAGTCTCTTTACTCGTTTCGTAACGCATGATCCCGTGACCAACTCCCCAGTCACATTGGCTTGTTATGATGATGCATTACCGAGTGGGCCCAGAGATATCTCTCCATCATACGGAGTGACAAATCCCAGTTTCGATTCGTGCCAACCCAACAGACACTTTCGAAGATACTTGTAGTGCACCTTTATAGTCATCCAGTTACGTTGTGACGTTTGATACACCCAAAGCACTCCTACAGTATCCGGGAGTTGCACAATCTCATGGTCTAAGGAAACGATACTTGACATTAGAAAAGCTCTAGCAAACGAACTACACGGTCTTGTGCTATGCTTAAGATTGGGTCTTGTCCATCACATCATTCTCCTAATGATGTGATCCCATTATCAACAACATCCAATGTCCACGATTAGGAAACCACAACCATCTATTGATCAACGAGCTAATCAACTAGAGGCTCACTAGGGACATGTTGTGGTCTATGTATTCACACATGTATTATTATTTCCGGTTAATACAATTATAGCATGAACAATAGACAATTATCATGAACAAGGAAATATAATAATAACCACTTTATTATTGCCTCTAGGGCATATTTCCAACAACGAGGAGTCTCGAAATGGTCGAGACGTAAAGATTGATATATTGAAAGGTTATGTTTGGACACCGGAATGGTTTCAGAAAGGTTCGGACATTTTTCGGAGTACCGAGAGGTTACCGGAAACCCCCGGGGGGGGTGAATGGGCCTTCATGGGCCCTAGTGGAGAGAGGAGGTAGCGGCCAGGGGGAGGCCCCCCCCCCCAAGCCCAAACCGAATTGGACTAGGGTTGGGGGGGGGGCTTTCCTTCTTCTCCTCCATCTCTTTCCCTTTCCTCCCTTCTCCGGAAAGGAAAGGAGGGGGCTGAATCCTACTTGGACCGGGAGTCCAAGTAGGACTCCCCCCTTGGCGCGCCCCCCTTGGGCCGGCCTCCTCTCCTCCCCCTTTACAGTAAGTAGGGCGGCCCGAGGCCCCCTAGGTCAGTTGTGTCAGCCATGGGCCCTATAGAGAGAAGGACTCAGAAGACTTGGAGTGTACGGCAAGAAAAACGACGTCTACGAGGACTCCTCCGTAACCCTGACTGACTAGGATACTATAAACCCTAGACCCCGATATCCATATAAGGCGGGGCTCGTACGCCTGGGTGGTTTCTCCTCCCCGCTAGTGGTGGAAGAATTTGTGCTCGCCAAAGGTGGGTTCCTCGATGTAAGTCGTGTGTGCTACTGTCTGCTCCCCTATATTTTTCTCACTCCCACTCTTGTTAAACTCATCGTTGCAATATCATTATCGGGAAAAAAATATCATTGTTCCATATGAAGATAAACTTAAGATGGCAAACTCCAAGACGCTGCTGATCAATTGTATATTATCATAACATGAGTTTTTTTAAGGGATAGAACACGAGTAATTAAAAGGCCTTTTTTCAGAACAAAAGGGATGTTTCAGATTCACTCAGACTGGGGTCTGGGCTGCAGCCCGTTTCAGAACCCTAGGTTATCCATTCCAGTAGTTTCCTGTAAAAGGCAAAACAAAAACCCCCATTCCCATTCTCCCTCGAAACCCCTCCGCCGCCACCACACCCACACCAGCACAACTCCACCCAGCCGGCGACCATGGCGGAGGCCGCGGCAGCAGCAGAAACCATGGCGGAGGCCGTGGCAGCAGCAGAAACCATGGCGGAGGCCGTGACAGCAGCAGCGACGACCCTCCTCCCCGGCCTCCCAGACGAGATCGTGGTATGGGAGATCCTCGTCTGCCTCGACCCCAAATCCATCCTCCGCAGCCGCGCCGTCCGCCGCGACTGGCGCTGCGCCATCACTAACCGCCGATTCCTCCTCTCCCACCATGCCCGCCAGCCCGCCCTTCCCATCCTCTTCAGCGACGGTTACCGTAACATCCTCACCTTCGATCACAGGGCAGACGCCGCCTCCCAGCTCCACACCGTCGCTCGGCTTGCTCTCTCCCAGCCCTTCAAGCTCGAGGCCTCCTGCGATGGCCTCCTCATTCTCTCCAAGCCTCCTGAGATGGCTGGCTCTCGCGCCCTCCTCACCGTCTGCAACCCGGTCACTCGTCAGCATGCCTCCCTCAGGCGGACACTCAAGGACTTCAACATCTTGGGGATGTACCCACACTGCCCTACCGGCAAGTACCGGTTGTTACTGCAAGGGAGGAGCTTCATGGACTCGTCTACTGACCGAACTGGTTGGTATGTCTTGGAGCTGGGCTCCGATGAGGCACCTAGGTACATTGGGTGCTCCAAGACCAAATTGCAGTTGGCGATCTTCCATGCGCCTGTCCGGGTCCGTGATAGCTTGCATTGGCACCCAGTGTGTTATGCCCCGGTGTATGGGGAGACTGAATTTTTTCAGCTTGAAAGAAAACTAGTAATTGTATTTGACACGATAGCTGAGTCGTTTCGGCAGATACGTGCTACCCTTGCTCCCACCAACTACTCATGTATCTTTGAGATGGATGACATGCTTGGTATCTATAGCTGTAACAAGGCAAAGAACATTGTCGATATATGGGTGCTGCAGAACTATGAAAGTGAGATTTGGGACTTAAAGTACCGGGTTCAATTGCCAACCGCAGAAATCTGGGGGAAGTTTGAAGGCATTGATGGTGATAGCTATTGGTATGTGACAGTTGTTTCGGGTGATGGGGTCGTGCTCTTGCTGGTCAGTTTTGGTAATAGACTGTTTTTTGTTGACACTGGTGGCGAACTGGTTGCTAGCTTCCGAGACTTACATGTTGGTGAACATCGGCTCAAACAAACTCTTGTCCCGCATGATTTCTTCATGACACTGGAAGGCTATGCCGTGGATGCTTCACCTTTCATCTGACAGATGTTTGGCGAGGTTCTTAATATCCTGATGAGTTACAATGTCTAGTAATTGGATCAAGTATGAACCTGCTGAGCTCTTCCTTTTGTGTTGTTGTATACAAAGTTATGATCTGAAGTGACTTTTGTTATGTGGTTGCATGAAATCTATGCTTGTTTCGATATCCTTTCGGGATAAAGTGACAACTGTTTATGTTGATGTTAAAATTACCATGACATTTGGATCTGCTTTTGAAGTATCTTCCAACTGTTCTGCCGCATGTCTCTATTTTCTAGTGGTCTTCTCAGTACTCATTTTTTTGCTATCTATATATATTCCTCATATATATCCCTATCTCTTGAACTGAAGAATTGATTTTACCACTTTATCCACTGGCCTTCTTAATAGTCAGTTTTTTAGTTGTTTCCTGTTTCGACCCTTTGTTGTAGCTGGCAACAAAAAGAGGCAGATTCTCCTCCTTCCTGATTTGCAGGTTGCACCAGACTTCTGGAAGACCTTGGAGCACTACTGGTTAAATTAAATGCTTCCGTATTGCATCATAATAGTCAACTTTTCAATGAAGCGTTCTGTTATAATTATGTTCTCTTCGAAACGGTCAGGTAGGTGAAAATTTGGTTGAACGGACAGGAAAGAGCCGACATATGCGTGTCCTTAGTGAGAATCCGAGACATTCGCTCCACACAGGAGTTGAACTCTGGTTGCTGGGCGCACACTGTGACCCTAGCCAATGGGCTACTGCCCCGTTTCGAAAATAATTATGTTTTCTTCATGCATCTGGTGCATCTGGTTAGTGTTCTGTATAATTAGGCTTTTCATTAGCAAAACTGTTCCTGTTTTGACTGTGGTCGTTTGTTTTGTTAATTTCTTATACCTTGACTTGTTCCGAGCAAGCAAGAAACAGGTTGACTCTAGGTGAGATCACCTGTGGCAGAAGTGGAACTACTGTTTGTTGTCTTAATTAGGGCAATAATATCAATAACCTAATGCTTTATCAATTTCACTGCTTGATTTTTCCTTTTGTCTGTCTATCAACTTGTTCTTCCCTTGCATTGCCTGCGTCTTAGCAATGCAGTCTGCTGCTTATTTTGTGCATTAGAAAGTGTTGGATCACTTTTTCCCTTTCTGAATTCTGAATCTGCAGTTGAATCTTTGACACTGTGCCTTGTTCTTCCATGTTGGCTTTGTTCATTTTGCAATGTCTTGTTCTAGGCGAGAAACGGGTTTAGGATTTTTCTTAGTTGTGATCCATCGAACTGATGTGTGCTGCAGTGGGGCTTAGAACAAGATGCAAGCGTAATGTTGCGTCTATTTTTGTAATTCTTGCTTTGCACTACTGCAGAAACACAGTTTGTAGCACAATTTCGGTTAATGACTTCAGCTGTGCTGTGTAGATTCTGATGTTAACATATCTCTGCAGGGCAGGTGTGGTACTTTATGGTCACTATAACCTGTCCAGAGTATCTTATGAGTGGATTGGATCTTTCCGGGCAGGTGTATGAGTGGACTGGATCATATCCCTATCTCTTTGACTGAAGAATTGATTTTACCACTTAATCTAATGGCCTTCCTAATAGTCAGTTTTAGCGAGTTTCCTGTTCCGACCCATTGTTGCAGCTGGCAATGAAAAGAGGCAAATTTTCCTCCTTCCTGACCTGCAAATTGCACTTGACTTGTAAAAGACCTTGGAGCACTACTAGTTAAATTAAATGCTTCCATGTTGCATCATACTAGTTAAATTAAATTTAGCGAGTTAGTGTGGTATTCTTCTAGAAAAGACTGGGACTGCACTGGACACCGACTACAGAAACTAGAGATCTTTGATTTCGTGAAGTGGGACAACAACTTCCCTTGCCGCCGGCCGTCCTTTCAGGATCATCCTGCTTCTCTACAGCTATACCACCAATGTCCCAGATTCTCAACTGACCTTGCAACAAATGTTATAAAGGCGCTGACAAATCGTGTTTCTACTTTGTGGACAGTGAGCTTTCGATAAGTAAAATTGTTCCTGTTTTCAATCTGGCCTTTTGTTTTGTTGATTTTCCTTGTATTACCTACTTCTTAGTAATCCACTCTGCTGGTGCATCGTTGTTCCCTGTTGGATTTGTTCATTTTGCAATGTCTTGTTGTAGGCGTGAAACGGGTTTCGGATTTGCTTGCTGGTGATCCGTGGAACTGGTGTATGCTGCGGCCGTTTTAGAACATGGTATGAGTGTAATGTTGCATCTATTGTTGTAATACTCCTGGGTGAGGTGTTGTACTTTACGGTTCCCATATCCTGTTCAGAGTACTATGAAACAATGGTGGTTTAGAACTGAACACAATCTCGACAGCTCAAACCATGCTCGTAGTGCTGCAACAGTAAGTAGGTGAAAGTAGCACACACCGGTGGTAGAGCAGTACATTCGCTTGGTAGAACTGAACCCAATCTCGACTAGTGTTAGGTGTTAAATATTAATCGCTTACTCTGAAACTCAAAGAGATGGAGCAGTCGAGCATATACTAGTGTACCTCTGAAACTCTTTTGTTTTAGACTGAGCACGTCTGAAACTCAGAATTGATGCTTCTGTTGCAGCTTCTCTCTCATCTGCTGCTGCGGCCTTCTCTTCGGACACCAGGGCGCCCTCTCTGATAGTAGCATTGCTGGGCTAAATATATTCACCGAAGAACCCACTAGGGTGAAGATAATGCATCCCGGGAATTCCCATTGCTGCTACTATGTAAACTGGTTGCTGTCAAAAAGATAAAAACACTGCTACTGGAAATCACGGGAGTGTCCTTTGCTACTATTTAACCCTTCAAGTAATGTTCTAGAGATGTTTTTCAACCTTGCCCTTGTTTCTCGCTATCGAAAAATCTAGACCTCATGAACTACCAAAAGTGGTGCAAGTATTCTCCGGCTCGAATTCAAGGGTGGCGACACGTTGTTTAGTGCATAAATAAAGATACACATTTCTCGACAAATCAAAGGCAAAAAATAAGGAAAAGAAATAAAAAACCATTCAAGAACCTGGCAGAAACTACTTCCTCTATAAACTAATATAGGATGTTTTAGAGACTTGATTGATTAACTAAGAAGGAATGCTATTGCAAACAGTCATTATAGGTGTAGCTTGTTTTGGTAAAGCGAAACCATAAAAAAATATCATTGGCTTATTGCGAAGTAAACTGAGGACTAGAAGGTGGTTTTGTGTGATGTGGCATCCTAAGTAACATTGTCGGCGGCATTCGCATGTCGGTATATCCTAAGGCAACCCCTTTCAAGGCTGAAAATGAGTTTTGGGACTTAAAGTATTGGGTTGAATTGCCGATCACAGAAATCAGGGGAAAGCTTGAAATCCTTGATGGCGATGGTGATTGGTATGCGGCCGTTACTTCTGGTGATGGTGACGTGCTCTTGTTGGTCAGTTTTGGTCATTGGCTGTTTTACGTTGGCACTGATGGAGTATTGGTTGCTAGCTTCCATGACTTTAATGCCTGCACACATCAGCTCAAACAAACTCTTGTTCCGCATGATTTCTTCACGACATCAGAAGGTTGTGTTGTGGACGCTTCACCATTCATCTAATGCTGTTGAGTGAGGTGGTGCTTCTTAGCAGCCTAGTTTTTGTATCCTCACGAGCTGCAATGTCCATGGATTGGATCAAGACGAGCCTGCTAATTTCTTCTTTTTGCTCTGGTTTTGAAATGTTTGACAGCTGATCCGCCTCATGTTCTCTGCTTTATTCGATTTATTTAGTGGTCTTCTCAGTACTTGATATTTAGCAACCTTTATGCCTCATATCACTATTTCTTCAATTGGAGAATTGATTTGACCTCTTGATCAGTGGTCTTCTTACTAGTCAACTTGTAGTGTGTTTGCTGTTCATACCCTTTGTTGTAGCTGACAAAGGGAAGGGACAAATTTTTCTGTTTACTGACTGGCAAGCTGCACCTGCCTTCTAGAATAGCTTGGAGCACTACTGATCAAATTAAATGCTTGAATGTTGCATCATAGTCAACTTCTGAACAAAGTATTCTGTTATAATTCAGTTCTCTTCTTGCATCTATGTATTGCATCTACCACCGTGAAAATTGATTTTCTGTGTTGCTGGTTGTAACGAGGATATGAGCGCAGATGCTGTGCTTCTCTCTTTAAATCAAACTTGGCCTATATAGGATTCTGTATTAGTTGCTGGTTGTAGCAATGTGCATTTGTGGGAGCTGATGGCCAAACGATTGGCCGTTTTATGTGTCTTCCATGACAGGACAGTTTTATTTGTTGCAGAATTTGGTGCTTTACTCTAACACAATGGTTCCAAATCTTCAGATAACAATGGAGATGGTTAGGTAGATCTTATGGAAACTAAGCTCACCACTAATTGGACATGGTTGTAGTAATATTCTTCTAGAAAAAGGGCGGTAATGTATTACAACCTGAAATCTATGATTATCCTATTGCATTTGTCTGCTGCACGCTTTGCAGTTATTATCTCTTACTCTGTTGACCTTTTTGTATAAATGTTTCATGCGGATGTTGTAGCACAATTGCTGTTAATAATGTCAGCTGTGCTGTGCATACAGAAGTTCTGGGCACAATTTGGTTTTTGCCGTTTCTAGGCGCGTTTGCTAGATTCAGATGCAAACATGTTTCTGCCGGGCAGGTGCCGTACTTTACAGTTTGTTTTTGCTATTTCTAGATGGGTTTGGTAGATTCAGATGTTTACAAATTTGTGCTGGGCAGGTCTTGTACTTCAAATTTACTAGTATATCATATACTTACTAAAGTAATCACAACTTGAAAGTAACACTGACCAGACCAGTGGGTGAGCTATATTGAACAGGAGGTACGTACACGCACAACTACTGAAGGCCATGCTATAGTATGTCTACACTAGTGAAATCATTGTGTTCAGTCTTACGTAGTACCAGTGTTATTTCTGTGACTCAACGCAATTATCAGGCTCCCTATACTTTTATACCATACTGATGCATTTCACGCGAAGAAACATGTGCATGTGTGA